AAATAAGCCTCCCCACTTAGCTTTCTTTTCCTGTTTGGGCCACCCTGACTTCCTGCCATCTATACCAGCTTGGGGGCCTGGGCGCTACCCCAGTGAACCAGTGGGTATCTGAGTCTGGTCCGCTGTGGGGCGGACCTGACAAGAGTGGGGGCAGCAGTGTCGGCCTGGGGCTTTGGGAGGACACCGTCAAGAGCAGCGGGAGCCTGGCCCGCAGCCTGGGCCTGAAGAACAGCCGGAGCAGCCCCTCTCTCAGGTGGGTGCCAGCACCTGCAGGGTCTGGACTAGGGCTGGAAGGATGTGAAATACCTGAGTTGATCTCTTGCCTCTGATCTATCCTTATCCCACCTAGTGACTCGTACAGCCACCTGTCAGGTCGGCCTGTGCGCAAAAAGACAGAGGAGGAAGAGAAGCTGCTGAAGCTGTTACAGGGCATTCCGAGGCCCCAGGATGGCTTCACCCAGTGGTGTGAGCAAATGCTGCACACACTGAGCACCACGGGCAGCCTGGATGGTAAAGGTGGCAGACCCTGGGAGGCTGGTCTGGGCCAGAGGTGCCAGACCTGCATCAGGTGGGCCCTGACAGCCACCGTCCTGCCCTATAGTGCCCATGGCTGTAGCGATCCTCAAAGAGGTGGAATCCCCCTATGATGTCCACGATTATATTCGTTCCTGCCTGGGGGACACGCTGGAAGCCAAAGAATTTGCCAAACAATTCCTGGAACGGAGGGCTAAGCAGAAAGCCAGCCAACAAAGGCAGCAGCAACAGCAGGTGAGGTTTCACATCCCCTGCAGGTGAGGATGAGGTTGCCCAGCACCCTCCTGACTCCCCCTCCCTCTCTGTTGCCTGGCAGGAGGCTTGGTTGAGCAGCGGCTCTCTGCAGACCGCCTTTCAGACCAATCACAGCACCAAACTTGGCCCTGGGGAGGGCAGCAAGGCCAAGAGGCGGGCACTGATGCTACACTCGGACCCTAGCATCTTGGGTATGTTTTGGGGTTGGGGCCAGTAAGGAGGTCCTTCATCAGTATGGAGCAGGCACCTATGGGTGAAAGAGCTCAAACCCAGCTTCTTCCGGCTTCAGGGTACTCCCTGCACGGACCTTCTGGTGAGATCGAGAGCGTGGATGACTACTGACCAGCCCGTCCCACCAGCCTCCCTGGGCTGTAGGCCAGGGGCAACAGCAGCAGCTTGGACTCTTGGGTCCCCAGCTTGCAGGCTCCCAACAAGGAGCATAGGAGAAAGCAGGGGCAGGGTCCCCAGCACTTGTTACAAACCACACAATGCACCTTAACTCACCCACCACGAGGCACTTTAATAGATTGGGGGGAAGGGGTTTTTTTTTCCCTTTTCTTTTAAAAAAATTTTAAACATTGAAGAAAACGTTAGGAGAGACAAAAAAAATTGTTAAAAACTAGACTCTAAGCACCCGTTTCCCCTCTGGGGATTGTGGGGGTGACAATGGAAGGTCCACAGAAATTTTGGTGTTTTTTTTTTGTTTTTTTTAAGAAAAAAAGAAAACAATGAAAAAAAAAGGTTAGGAGGCTGAAAGAAAAAACACTGTTATTTTGGGGCAGTGGGGACATGGCCCCACCCGTCTGTCCTGCCTGGTCCCCAAGGCTGCACTTACCCTCCCTGCCCTGCCAGGTGGGCCATTGGGGTAACTGGAAGCTGGGGTGCCAGCAGTTTGCACAGCGAGGCCCCCTCAGCCCCACCGGCCAGACTGCTGTGAAAGGCCCCCTTGTTGCTATGACTGTGGCAGAGGTGTCTGGGGTTGGGGCTAAAGAAGCCCCTTGGCTTTGCTGCTTTGGGGGAAAGTTGCACAAATGGGCCAGGCCACCTCCTGTCCTCAGGTGGCTGATGGGGTAGATGGCAGAGGGCCAGCCAGTGCCAACCTCATCTGGCTGTCAGGGTGGCAGAACTTCCACTCTGGCCCTGGTGAGGGGCTTCCCCCACCTCTGCCATAGGGGGACTGGATGTGAAGCCGAAAGCCCCAGCTCCCTGCCTTGCCACATGAATGTATTCTTTGGGCCACAAGCCCCTGCTGTGCCCCCTTGAGTGAGGTGGGGGCAGAGCAGTTCCTCTAGGAGCTGGAGAGAGGCACCACTTAATGACTATTTCTCCTGTGAAGGGGGTGAGAGGAGGGGCCCCAGAGGCCAAAGGAGTGGGCAACTTGGGGCGTCAGGTTGCAGTGTGGGGGCTTTTAGAAGGGAGCCCTCCACCTGCAGCTGACTGGCTATATGGGATGTGGACCACCCAGCTCTGCCCTGACCCCTCCATTGACCAAACTGGAGAGGAGTGAAGTGGCCTCTCCCCTCTCTGCTCCCCTGATGCGTTTTTAATGTTGGGTAAGGTGGGAGGGGGGTCAAGAATAGAAGTGTCTGTCTCTCCAAAGTCAGGGGGAGGTGGTCCTTCTGCTAACGGACCTATTCCCAATCACCTGCCTGGGTTTGTCTCCATTTGTGTGTGTGTGTTTTAAGTTAGTTGTACCTTTTGGGTTTCTCATCTAATTTCTCCTGTTGACCTCACTGCTCAGAGCGCAGTATTAGGGCAGGATTCTGCCACTGCCTCCCCTCCATGAATGTATTTCTCCTTCCTGCCCTGGGGAAATGGGGAGTGGCCCCAGTTTTCTTTTCCCATCTATCCCGAGAGACCACATTTTTTTTGTTTTGGGGTTTTTTGTTTGTTTTGCACCAAAGTGGCAACTGGGTCAGTGTTGGGGGAACAAAGCTGGCCTTGGGGGTGGAGGGGCTCCCTCCACCTGCTTCTCCCTGGTTTCAACAGTGTTAGCGTCCGTGAAAAGACAATATTCTCTCTTAAGCAATAAGGGGGTGATGGGCCAGGGGGAAATGTCTTGCTGCTGCTGGCCCCCCAGCTCCCCCTTTCTTTGCGCCAGTATTTGGCGGCATTAGAGGTGTGGGGGGAGTACTGTTGTGACTGAATGTAACTGCCCCCACCCCTGCCGCAGCCAATGCAGGGGGAGGGGGGATGACACTCTTCCCCTCTCTTCCCCTCCCCCCCCCAGCTAAAGAGACTTTGAACTTAGGGGGCCCTTGAGCCTGGAGAGGCCTTAACCCTGTGAGGAAGTGTAGGGGGAGCCCTCTCCCACCCCATCCCCTTCTGAGAGTGGTCAATGTTTACAAGCCCCTGAGCCCTCCGAAGCCCAGGGACTCATCCCCCATTCTGTCCTTTCCCAGCCCATCTTCCTGGGCCCCAGCTCTCCTGCCCTTCCTGGGGTTGGGGCGGGTGCAGTGGCCTTCTGTATCCCCTTGTCTGCCTTGAACCTACAATCTCCCCACCCTGTTACTCCTCCCTCTTTTACCTGCCCCTGTAAATACTCCCCCCAATAAAACTTGGTGTGTGTTCCCTTTCTGCTTCTGCATCTTTTCTTGGGGGAAGAGGGTGTAGGGGACAGAAAGGCAGAGCTCAGAGCTGGGAATTCAAAAGAGCTGCAGGCAGGGGGTGGTTAGAATGAAGGGTTGTGTGTGTTTAGGAGGAACACCTACAACCCAGCTGAGCAAAAGGTCCTGCTTATGAGTCTAGCTTTGGTCTGAGGAAAAGTGGGATTTCCTTTCTGGCACCCTACTTGTAAGGGCCCCATATCCCCCAGTTGATATGCCCTCCCTGAAGTAAGGAAAACACAAGCAAGAGGAGACCAGGTACAGAGTTGGAATTGGTTCCTTTATGGAAAAACTGAAAATATAATAAAAATTAAAATAAAACCAGTTTTAAAAAAGCCAGCCCCTGGAGTTTCTACCTCCTGCCTCTGACCCTCCAGGGGGATGAGGCCCTGACCCCAGGGCAGCTAAAGGAGGAGGGCTTTCTGCTCCTCTTCTCCCATTCTATTCCCATCTTTATTTCCACAGTGGGGGCCCCGGGAGGAACCAAACCTGGGTAGGGAAGCAGGGACCCAAGGCCCTGTGGCCAGGGGAGGGAGGCTCATGTGCCCCAGCCCCAAAGCTCCCGGCCTGTAGTGTGGGCGTGGGCAAGGCCCCTCCTGGCCGGGCCCAGTTGGGGTTGGGGCTATTAGTTCCAGATCTTGAGGAAGGAGTCCCAGGAGCCTGTGGCCACAGCCATGCCATCATCAGTTACCCCGAGGCAGCTCACACGGTTGTCATGGCCAGCAAGGACACCTGTGAGGAAGGAATACATCAGAACTCATCTGGCTTGGGTTCCCTGTCCTAGTCTGTCCCCACCCAGCACCCAGCTCTCACCTGCACGGTCGCCCTTCATGGCATCCCAGATGTTGCAGTTGAAGTCATCGTAGCCAGCAAGCAGCAGCCGGCCACTGCGAGAGAAGGCAACAGAGGTGATGCCGCAGATGATGTTGTCGTGGGAATACATGAGGAGCTCCTGGTCAGCCCGCAGGTCGAAGAGGCGGCACGTGGCATCGTCAGAGCCGGTGGTAAAGGCATAGCCGTTAGGGAAGAACTACAGGACACAACCAGAGTGGAATAAGGACACAGGGCAGAGCCAGGAGCCTGGTGCAGAGGGGCCAGCCAGCCTGCCCAGAACTTACAGCCACGGCATTGATGTCCGATTCGTGGCCAATGAAGGTCTGTCGGCACATCGAATCCCGCACATCCCACAGCTTGATAGAGGCATCACAGGCACCTGACACAAAGGTGCGGCCATCGGGGGCCAGTGACAAGGACATCACATCCCCACTGTGTCCAGCAAAAGCCACTGTCTGCTGGCCTGTCTCAATGTCCCACAGGGCACTAGAAAGGTGTCAGGAAGAAGGAAAGGATCAGAGAGGAAGGCAGAGCAGACTCCCTGCCTCCCTACCCCTCCACCTTGTGAACCTAGCCCTGACAGCCTCCAAGGAAGGGGCACCAGGAATCACTGAGTCACCGAAGCCTACTCTTGTCTCCTTCCCACCACAGGAGAAGGAGGCTAGATGTTCAGAATAAGAGCTCTGCCCTCACTTGCTCAGGGTGCGTGTGCTATACATGCTGAGAACTGAGGCAGTGGTCCCCCAGGCAGGAAGTATGGGTGAGTCCAACTACCTATCTCTAGCAGGGCCTCACCAGGTGGTGTCCCCAGAACTGGTGATGATTTGGTTGTCATCCAGGAAGCGGCAGCAGGACAGGTACCCTGGGAAAAGAGGCTGGTCAGACGGGTCTCTAAGGGAAGGCAGCACAGCCCCTCCCACCTGTGCCCTACCAGGCCCTTCTTACCGGTATGGCCAGGCAGCTCTCGGCTGACCCTGACATTGCCCTCACGGGTCTTGAGGCTGTAGATGGAGCAGATGTTGTCCAACCCCCCACAGGCCACAAAGTTCCCTGAGGGCGCATAGGCACAGGTCATAACCCAGGAGGAACGTAGCGGGATGGCATGGACCTAGGGAGGAGAGGCAGTGCCTAGGATGAGAAATCAGGCAGGGCCAACAGCCCAGCCCCATCCAGCCTCAGGTATCACCTCTACCTTGTTGGTGGTATAGCTGTCCCAAATGATGAGCTTCCCATCCTGGGAGGCGCTGACCAGCAGCCTGTTGGAAAGTGGCAAGGGAGAGGCAGAGGGATCAGGGTGTAAAGCCCCCTCTGGAGGAAGGACACTCTTACCAGTTTCTCATCTAGTGGGAGGCCCTTCTGAGACAACTAGCAGTAGCCCAGAAGTTCCTGTCAGTATGGTCCTCTTTCCAGTCCCCTCGGGATATCTGGGAGTCATGGTCTTCCCAAACATAGCAACATGGGCATCCTGTTCATCTCCCCAAATCTGCAAGGCTGCCCCTCCCCTCTGCTTGCTATAAACTGAGCCCCAGGGCAAACACAAAAGCTCAGCACCCAGTTGCAACCATGCACATACCTTGAGTCTGTCCCCCAGTGCATCGCATAGATTTTTGCCAGGTGCCCACGGAGAGTCCTCCGTGTCCTCATCTGGATTCTCCCCACTGGGTCCAGCCCAGCTGTGATCTGGAGGTGGAGGCAGAATGGGTCAGGGAGGGTCAGAAGGCAGAGTCCACTAAGCAGTATGCCTCAAACCCTTGCTCCTTCCCCTTAACCCCAAGTCCAGCACTGGATTCATCTCACCTGGGTCAGTGTTGAATCCCCACATGCTTTTCGGGCATCCTGTAAGAGATGGCCAGCCAGAGAGGCACAAGATGAGGGAGGGAGAGGAGAAGAAAGAGCACATGAGACGGGAGTGGAGAGGATAAGACAGTAAGGGGTTAGGGTACACCCCCCCACACAAAGAACACCCCTTCCCCCCTCCCGGTCCAGCACACAAAGCCTCCTGGCCCTATCCATTCAGTCCCCCACCCCCAGCTCAGCCCGCTAGGCCCTCACCCGGATCTGGTTCCGGAGCTGCTCAGCCTCCTGTCTCAGTTGCTCCAGCTCACTCATGGCGCCGCGCCCGTGGGGCGGGGTTG